AGCTTAGGCCTGAGGGACATACCTACGTCCCCAGCTTAGGCCTGAGGGACACACCAACGTCCCCAGCTTAGGCCTGAGGAAGACTCCCACGTCCCCAGCTTAGGCCTGAGGGAGACACCCACGTCCCAAGCTTAGGCCTGAAGAAGACACCCACGTCCCCAGCTTAAGCCTGAGGAAGACACCCACGTCCCCAGCTTAGGCCTGAGGGGGACACCCACGTCCCCAGCTTAGGCCTGAGGAAGACACCCATGTCCCCAGCTTAGGCCTGAGGGAGACACCCACGTCCCCAGCTTAGGCCTGAGGGAGACACCCACGTCCCCAGCTTAGGCCTGAGGGTGACACCCACGTCCCCAGCTTAGGCCTGAGGAAGACACCCACGTCCCCAGCTTAAGCCTGAGGAAGACACCCACGTCCCCAGCTTAGGCCTGAGGGGGACACCCACGTCCCCAGCTTAGGCCTGAGGGGGACACCCACGTCCCCAGCTTAGGCCTGAGGGGGACACCCACGTCCCCAGCTTAGGCCTGAGGAAGACACCCACGTCCCCATCTTAGGCCTGAGGAAGACACCCACGTCCCCAGCTTAGGCCTGAAGGGGACACCCACGTCCACAGCTTAAGCCTGAGGGGGACACCCACGTCCCCAGCTTAGGCCTGAGGGGGACACCCACGTCCCCAGCTTAGGCCTGAGGGGGACACCCACGTCCCCAGCTTAGGCCTGAGGGGGACACCCACGTCCCCAGCTTAGGCCTGAGGGAGACACCCACGTCCCCAGCTTAGGCCTGAGGGTGACACCCACGTCCCCAGCTTAGGCCTGAGGAAGACACCCACGTCCCCAGCTTAGGCCTGAGGAAGACACCCACGTCCCCAGCTTAAGCCTGAGGAAGACACCCACGTCCCCAGCTTAGGCCTGAGGGACACGCCCACGTCCCCAGCTTAGGCCTGAGGGACACGCCCACGTCCCCAGCTTAGGCCTGAGGGACACGCCCACGTCCCCAGCTTAGGCCTGAGGGACACGCCCACGTCCCCAGCTTAGGCCTGAGGGACACGCCCACGTCCCCAGCTTAGGCCTGAGGGACACGCCCACGTCCCCAGCTTAGGCCTGAGGGACACGCCCACGTCCCCAGCTTAGGCCTGAGGGACACGCCCACGTCCCCAGCTTAGGCCTGAGGGACACGCCCACGTCCCCAGCTTAAGCCTGAGGAAGACTCCCACGTCCCCAGCTTAGGCCTGAGGGGGACACCCACGTCCCCAGCTTAGGCCTGAGGGACACACCCACGTCCCCAGCTTAGGCCTGAGGAAGACACCCACGTCCCCAGCTTAGGCCTGAGGGGGACACCCACGTCCCCAGCTTAGGCCTGAGGAAGACACCCACGTCCCCAGCTTAGGCCTGAGGGGGACACCCACGTCCCCAGCTTAGGCCTGAGGGGGACACCCACGTCCCCAGCTTAAGCCTGAGGAAGACTCCCACGTCCCAGGCATAGGCCTGAGGGGGACACCCACGTCCCCAGCTTAGTCCTGAGGGACACGCCTACGTCCCCAGCTTAGGCCTGAGGAAGACACCCACGTCCCCAGCTTAGGCCTGAGGGACACGCCCATGTCCCCAGCTTAGGACTGAGGGACACGCCCACGTCCCCAGCTTAAGCTTGAGGAAGACTCCCACGTCCCCAGCTTAGGCCTGAGGGGGACACCCACGTCCCCAGCTTAGGCCTGAGGGACACACCCACGTCCCCAGCTTAGGCCTGAGGGACACACCCACGTCCCCAGCTTAGGCCTGAGGGACACACCCACGTCCCCAGCTTAGGCCTGAGGGACACGCCCACGTCCCCAGCTTAGGCCTGAGGGGGACACCCACGTCCCTAGCTTAGGACTGAGGGACACGCCCACGTCCCCAGCTTAAGCTTGAGGAAGACTCCCACGTCCCCAGCTTAGGCCTGAGGGGGACACCCACGTCCCCAGCTTAGGCCTGAGGGACACACCCACGTCCCCAGCTTAGGCCTGAGGGACACACCCACGTCCCCAGCTTAGGCCTGAGGAAGACACCCACGTCCCCAGCTTAGGCCTGAGGGGGACACCCACGTCTCCTTAGCGTGCTCTACGCAGCCGATGGCATCAACACATGATTAAAAAACACATCACTACTAAGCTGGCGTAAGGTCAAGGTTCGCACCCTGCCCACCACTGGCCTCGTGAGCAGTTATCTAGTTATCAATTTTTCTTCGTATCAATTTGTCTCGTTATCCGTTTGTTCCAAGATCGATTTGTCTCGTGAATTTTTGTAGTATCTGTTTGTCTCGTTAACAATTTTTGTAGTATCTGTTTGTCTCGTTAACAATTTTTGTAGTATCTGTTTGTCTCGTTAACAATTTTTGTAGTATCTGTTTGTCTCGTTAACAATTTTTGTAGTATCTGTTTGTCTCGTTAACAATTTTTGTATCTTTGCCTCATTATCCATTTTTCTTTATCTATATGTCTCTTGATCTGTTTTTTTCCAGTATCGATTTGTTTCGTGTTTGAGAATTTGTGTGTGTGTATGTATTATTTGTATTTACATTTCGCCTACAAGATTGTGCTGTTAGCTCTTGGACTTGGGGAGCCGGTCGGCCGAGCGGACAGCTCGCTGGACTTGTGATCCTGTGGTCCTGGGTTCGATCCCAGGCGCCGGCGAGAAACAATGGGCAGAGTTTCTTTCACCCTATGCCCCTGTTACCTAGCAGTAAAATAAGTACCTGGGTACTTATTTTACAGCTGTCACGGGCTGCTTCCTGGGGGTGGAGGCCTGGTCGAGGACCGGGCCGCAGGGACACTAAAAAAGCCCCGAAATCATCTCAAGATAACCTCAAGATAAGAACCCTGCCTTTGAAATCGTCGGTGGTCTAATGCAGAGAATCCCAACCTATTTCCCTCTATCATATCTACTATATATATTTATTTCACACACATACATTCCCAGGATGCAGCCCGGAGCAGTTGTTTAACTCCCAGTTATCTATTTCACTGGTAGGTGAATAGGTGCATCAGGTGAAAGAAACTATGACCATTTGTTTCCGACTCGACCGAGAATCGAACCATGGCCCTTATACCTACGAACCCAGAGCACTGTGCGCTCGACTGTGAGGACCTGTCTGTGTTGTACTTGCCTATTTGTGCTTGCGGGGTTGCGCTTCAGCTCTTTGGTCCCGCCTCTTAACTGTCAATCTACTAGTGTACAAGTTTCTAATACTATTCGGCTCTTTTCGTATTTACGTTTGAAACTGTATATGGAGTCAGCCTCCACCACATCACTGCCTAATGAATTCCATTTATTTACTACTTTGAAACAAAAAGTCTTTTCTAATGTCTCTGTGGCTCATTTGGGTACTCAGTTTCCACCTGTGTCCCCCTGCTCGCGTACCACCCGTGTTAAACAGTTTATCTTTATCTACCCTGTCAATTCCTCTGAGAATTTTGTAGGTAGTGATCATGTCTCCCCTTTGCTGTCTTCCAGTGTCGTGAGGTGCATTTCTCGCAGCCTTTTCTCGTAACTCATACCTCTTAGTTCTGGGACTAGCCTAGAGGCATATCTCTGAACTTTTTCAAGCTTCGCCTTGTGCTTGACCAGGTACGGACTCCATGCTCGGCCCGCATGCTTAAGGATTGGTCTTACATATGTGGTATACAAGGTTCTGAATGATTCCTTACACAGGTTCCTGAAGGCAGTTCTGATGTTAGCGAGCAGCGCTAACATCTAGCACTTGCAGCGTGTTTGTATATATATGTATGTATCTAACAGGGTCTCACCACGAAGGAGAGATTGAAACAGGAATTTCCTTAGGTACTTATTTAATAAAACATCTTCAGAAGGATGAAAGCTATGATCCTTCTGAAGATGTATTATTAAATAGGAAAGTACTTAATGAAATTCCTATTTCAATCATTGCTTCGTAGTTTGTCACATTTTTCATGGCGTGTTACTTTTCGTGATATACACACATGTATGTATATGCATATATATATATATATATATATATATATATATATATATATATATATATATATATATATATATATATATATATATATATATATATATAATATGTCGTACCTAGTAGCCAGAACGCACTTCTCAGCCTACTATGCAAGGCCCGATTTGCCTAATAAGCCAAGTTTTCCTGAATTAATTGTTTTTCGACTACCTAACCTACCTAACCTAACCTAACTTTTTAGGCTACCTAACCTAACCTAACCTATAAAGATAGGTTAGGTTAGGTAGGGTTGGTTAGGTTCGGTCAGATATCTACGTTAATTTTAACTCCAATAAAAAAAATTGACCTCATACATAATGAAATGGGTTGCTTTATCATTTCATAAGAATAAAATTAGAGAAAAAATATTAATTCAGGAAAACTTGGCTTATTAGGCAAATCGGGCCTTGAATAGTATATATATATATATATATATATATATATATATATATATATATATATATATATATATTGTGTGTGTGTGTATGTATTATTTGTATTTACATTTCGCCTACAAGATTGTGCTGTTAGCTCTTGGACTTGGGGAGCCGGTCGGCCGAGCGGACAGCTCGCTGGACTTGTGATCCTAAGGTCCTGGGTTCGATCCCAGGTGCCGGCGAGAATCAATGGGCAGAGTTTCTGCCCATATATATATATATATATATATATATATATATATATATATATATATATATATATATATATATATATATATATACATATATATATATATATATATACATATATACATATATACATATATATATATGTATGTATGTATCAAATTGCTGTGGTTGGTGGGTAGAACAAGCCTTGCTTACTGCGCTCTGCAGTGCGGTTCAGACTATTAGTTACGACATATATATACGTCGAGCACCCATCAGTTGACAATGCCAAACAGAAAGTACTCGTTCCCCAGAGTCAGCAACGGCAGCCAACATTCGATGAAAGTACCTAGACATAGCCCAACACAATTCCACAGAGTATCCTAAAATCCCCAGCTGCAGACAATATTGGCCAATAATCCCCAGCAGCAGACAATAGTGGCCACCAGTCCCCCGCAGCAGACAATAGTGACCACTAGTCTGCAGCAGCAGACAATAGTGGCCACCAGTCCCCAGCAGCAGACAATAGTGGCCACCAGTCCCCAGCAGCAGACAATAGTGGCCACCAGTCCCCCGCAGCAGACAATAGTGGCCACCAGTCCCCCGCAGCAGACAATAGTGGCCACCAGTCCCCAGCAGCAGACAATAGTGGCCACCAGTCCCCAGCATCAGACAATAGTGGCCACCAGTCGCCAGTACCAGACAATAGTGGCCAAAAGTCCCCAGCATCAGACAATAGTGGCTAACAGTCCTCAGCATCAGACAATAGTGGCCAACAGTCCCCAGCATCAGACAATAGTGGCTAACAGTCCCCAGCATCAGACAATAGTGGCTAACAGTCCCCAGCAGCAGACAATAGTGGCCACCAGTCCCCAGCAGCAGACAATAGTGGCCACCAGTCTGCAGCAGCAGACAATAGTGGCCACCAGTTCCCAGCAGCAGACAATAGTGGCCACTAGTCTGCAGCAGCAGACAATAGTGGCTAACAGTCCCCAGCAGCAGACAACAGTGGCCAACAATCCCCAGCAGCTGACAATAGTGGTCGGCTGCTGGGGACTGTTGGCAATAGGTGCCACCAGTACCGTGACCGTGGGGCAGCAGAGACAGCATCAGGCGGCCAGGGCGTCACGGAACATCAACAGCATCTTTTAAACTATATCGCAATAAGCTCTCTCGTGGCCTCCCTCAGCCACCCACTTTCCTCGTCCACACACGCACGCACACGTACGCACGTTCATACCGCTCGGGGAGCTTCGGGCTGTGAGGACAGCGCATGGGAGTCGTAGCCCTAAGGGCCTGGGTTCGATTCCCGTCCGAGGAAGAAACAAATGGGCAGAGTGTCTTTCACCCTGATGGCCTGTTCACTTAGCAGTAAATAGGTACCTGCGCGTTAGACGGCTTCTACGGGCCGATTCAAGTGGTAATTAATTAAACGTGTAGGAGTCTGAATGTTTAAAAGTTTATAATAAATTCATAAGAATAGGGTAGTGTTTCGTGAATGAGGAGTAGTAGGTCATTTAAATCCACATTCCACAACATCGGGTCTTGGGCACTTTACTGTGGGACACTGCACGGCACAAATTGAGTGGTTTTCAGATTCTCCTCCAATTCGGACCACTTTTATAGACAGTTCTTAAAGGAAGCCTCCTAATTCGCTGCAGGAATGAGCCGTTCTTACTCAGTATTTTATGCTTTACATGCAGACCAAAGTGCCATACTCGGTCACAGGCACCCGCAGTGCAGAGTGCCACAACACCTCATTTTGCAGTCGTCCAGAGATTGTTGCCAGTTAGTGGAGTGGTTTATCTAGAGATCATTAGCAAAACAGCATTTCCAGACACCTTGCTTCCGACTACACATTAACCGATGACAGTAAATGCTGTCATCTGTTGAGAGATTATCATCTCCCAAGACTTTGCCAGTACGTGAAAGCAAAGGCACTTTCCACAACCATAGAAAGACTGTGGATTTGAACCATATTTGCTCTCATTCATAGTGAAGGTAAAATTCCTTAATGCTTGGCAGAGTTGGAAGAGGCGCGTGAGAGGTGAAGTTAACAGATCAGTATAACTGCATAAAAGACTAATGTTGACATTATCCGCTCTCATTGCTTTACTTATACCGAGTGACGTAGAGAGGCCGTTCGAACCAGTGCATAGAAAACTGGTCAAAACAATAATTATATATGAAAACAATTACCTAAATTCCTAAACAAGCTTCCGCAATCTAGCAATACTTTCCTTTAAAAAATGAAGGTAAACTGATGCTTTCAAGTGTAATAAATAATTAAAACAAATCGGCCTCCGTGGTCAATTACATGCACGCCGTTTTCTATAAAAGATATCAAATTTCTTATTGCATTGAGTGGCAGCCCCCATGAACCGAGAATGTTGACCATACCCATCCTGCTGGCAGTCGCCTTCGTGGCAACGTCAAGAGAGGATGTTTTGCGCTCCAAAACGAAACTCTTCTCTTTTAGTCTCTTACCATTATATACAATTTATTTGATTGATAATTTAAGTTTCTTATGTGAAAATCAAATTGGAGAAACAGAGAAAACATGTAGACAACAAGAAGCAGCGACATAATTGTGTTTAATAGGAAATATTTCTGTTGACTACGACATGTGACGCCGAGCACATGTCAAGATTGGAATTTTCGGCATCAGATATAATATTCCGGGAGGCAAGACGACTCAGCACCTCAGGAGACAAGAAATCAGTTGCTGCAGGTTGCAGTCAGAAAGGTTTGGCACATAGTAGCTATACATAAATAGTACCTGTATATTGGTGTATAACTACTATGTATACTTTGAATTCCTTAGTTTAATTTTTAGTAAGATATAAAGTAAATTCATTAACACCAGAAAAATATATGTACCCATGCAAGTATGTATTTTCGAACGTGGAAAATGTATATTTATTCATGAAGTTTTGCTCCATTGCTTGACACGGAATTTGACTGAAACTTCACCACAGCAGTGAATACATCACACTCACCAGGTGTGTAAAGTTGGACGAGAGTCGGCCCGTGTGTACTTCTTCAGTTAGTGGTGCAGTCTTTGATTGACTTTTACTCAAAAGTATTCTTCTCCAACTTCAAAAGAGCGATTAGGCTAAAATGTCAAAGCTATTATCATGGATTATACATATGCTATGAATACTGTTCTGTAGATAAACTAATTCGTTTCTAATTTAATGTCTGGATTGCCGAGTCGTAAATTTATGAAATTGTAAATTTATGCTAATTTTTGGAAAATTATTGAATAAAAAAATCTCGGAGACTAATACGAATTTCATGAAACTTAGGCATGTTTAAAGATTACACTCTTATAAGCTATTTAACGTCAATATATTTAACCTTAGTTCAAATGTTTTTCACTTAACATTTTTAATACCTTTTTCTTTGCTAACGTTGCTGGACCCCTATCAGTAGTTTGTATATTGGATTTTATGCTTTACATGCAGACCAAAGTGCCATACTCGGTCACAATCACTCGCAGTGTAGAATGCCACAATACACCTCATTTTGCAGTCGTCCAGAGATTGTTGCCAGTTTAATTTATGCTTTATTTTGGAAAAATATCGACAATGACTTTCCCCATCACTTATAGAAATTGGGAGATAGCGGATCTCAACCTACTGAAAAATTACTTGAGTTAACTTTGACACAATGCATGAGTCAAGCCAAATATTTTGTCAGTAGCATTTAGTAGAAGCAGCAAATGCATTTACCCTTTGGTGATTGTTGGTTGCAACAGTCCCATCCTCTGGTTTCGGAATGAGTTTATGACCTCAGATGAATATTCCTGCCGATATTTAACAAGAGACCATCAAACATTTAATCCCTAACTACCTGATGCAGGTTATCTTTTTGTTTCGAATTCCAAACTGGAAATTTCCCATTTCTAAAAATCCTTCATTTGATGGCAACCTTGTCTGTGAATGGTCTTGTTGTCAGTTGAAGAATGCCTTTCATGTCTTCTCCAGACTTTCATTTTTGGTTTCAGCAGCCACCCAACATCGATAACCAAACCATGGTTTATCTGAAGGCTTTGACATACATTGCTGGTGAGGAATGTATTTGTGTTGGAGATACAGTATGTAACAGGTAATGGCATTTACTTTGTTGTTCACGCCACTCTGGCGCAAGACATTCCATTCAGTTGCTCCTAGTAATTGTTGTAGACAAGGAAGGAGGAAACGATGGAACGGTGTGTGTATGCAGGACAGGAGGAGACAGAAGAACGGTGCGCATGGGTACTTGGGAAGTGAGGGAGATTATAGAAGGGCATGTGTGGGCAGTGAGGGGTGAAACGGGGGAAGGGCGACTGTGGACAGGAAGGGAGAAGATGCGGGTGAAGGGTGTGCATGGGCAGGCCGGTAGGAGATGAGTGAAGAACATGTGCGGTAACTTCCCCTTGTCTTAATGCCAGGGTGATGCTTCAGCCCAACCTGTTGGAATAGCCGGTGTTGTGAAGATAACCCTGCGGTTTGTTGTCCCAATGTATTTTAGTGGTCGGCAATCAATATCATAATTAATATAATAGAGGATGTCTGTTTATCTGACAGGTTGTCTGTTCAAGGTTCGAGGCCTTGTGCAATCCTCATGAAACTGCAGATTGATGATGATCTTGTCAGGAGTGTCACAGACCGGTCGGGGTCGGCCAAGTAATTACATGAAAGGGGCAAGTCATCAATATCCTCTCATCACGAAGTCTGAGATAGTGAAATGTTCTGCGTCGAGTCCATAGACTTTAGCATTAGCTTAAATAATTGTGGATTTAGATGTAAGTTCTTGAGAGAATTATTCTCAACAGACTAATGTTTCAAATCAAGCCCCACCTTGCCCCTAACCTGTGTGGTTTCCTTCCTGGAAGAAGCACACAAACTTGCTTTGCTGAGTATTTTATCAGAGAGGGACCAAACTCTCAGGCGCCATTTATTGATCTCCAAACTGTTTCTGATACAGCAAACAGAAAAATTATCCTAGAACAGCTAGCCTCTTTTGGAGTTAAGGGAAGACTGTTGACATGGCTCAGGGGGTACCTGAGTAACAGAACCGCCTCAGTCCTTTTCAAGGGGGTCAAAAGTAAACTCTCTGCACCCTTTGAGTTGGGTACACCCCAGGGTGGAGTGCTAAGTCCCACACTGTTCAATGTTCTGATGCATAAATTACAATTGATATTCCCACATTACCTGACGAAGCCGTCATTTGTTATGCCGATGACATATGCATTGTTGCAAATTCCCAAACTAGACTGCAAGCTCTACTTGATTCATTCGCTGCTGAAAGCAGCGAATGTGGTGTTGTTATCTCTATAACTAAATCCAGAGTTCTCCATCCCCAAGAGAAAACTCATGTCCCTATAGCTTTCAAGATCAACAACCAGAACATTGAAACGTGTAGGCAGCACAATTACCTCGGAGTTGGTATTAACAGTGACATTGTAAATGATCTACACCGTATGTTAAAAGAAAGACTAAAACCATTGAGAACACTTACTGGTAAGAATATTGGTATCAATATTAAATATGCTAGACTATTCTATATGATGTTTGTTAGATCTCTCGTTGATTATAATGCTCTGCACTTAATTAATTTCCCCTCCTCTGTGTTGGACAAACTTGAAGTAGTACAGAATGAGGCCATGAGGATAATTCTTGGTGTCCCAAGATGCACAAGAATCATCAACATGAGGGAAGAACTGAAGCTTCCAACCATACTAGAGAGAATAATGCAAGTCAACACTACCTTTTGCATTAAAGTCATGAGAAATCCTACATCTCCTGCATTGCTCAGAGACAAATTATTTAGTGCTGTTAACACCCTTTTGACTGGTGCCGACATACCAACTCACTCCTTTTATGATAATTGGCTGAGCAACAATGCTTACAATCTCATTAAACTTAACATTCCTTTTAAGTGCAATGTACCTGTCTCTGATATTCCTCTTTATCTGTACCCCACCATTCAAGTATCATACACACCTGTCACCAAGAAAGATGATGAGAATCTTGCTCTTCTCAAAGCTGTCACTCTTGAAACAATTGCCTCCTCCATCGAGAGTCTAAGATCTCACGAGCACTGTGTATACACCGACGGCTCAGTCCAATCCTCTACTGGACGGACTGCAGCGGCATGCAGGTTTT